GCTAATTTTTGTATTTTACTAGAGATGAGATTTCACCATGTTGGCCAGGCTGGTCTCGAACTCCTGACCTCAAGTGATCTGCCCACCTCAGGCTCCCAAAGTGTTGGGATTACAGGCGTGAGCGACCTCGCCCGGCCCTGAAGACACTTCTTAAGTACCTCCAAGAGCACCCTGGAATGTCCAATGTCACAGGATTAAAATGTTAAGAGACCAATCTGGGCAATATAGTGAGACCCCATCTCTATAAAAAATTAAAAATTAGCTGAATGTGGTGGTACATCCTGTAGTCCCAATTACTTTAGAGGCTGAGGTGGGAGAATTGCTTGAGCCCAGGAGGTTGAGGCTGCAGTGAGCCACATCCATGCCGCTGCACTCCAGCCTGAGTGACACAGCAAGACTCTGTCTCAAAAATAAATAAATAAAGTGTTAGAGACAATAAATGAAAGTGTTATCCTCATCGAAGCACTTTCTTGCAACATTTTATTCACCATTTCCTAGTATTCAAACTGTATTCAACTGCCTCTTAAAAAAAAAAAAACAGAATGTTGTTTTGGCTTTTTACTGATTCAGGTTGGTTTTCCTTATTCTGAGTCTCAGCTCTCATTTCACTGTGCCACAATGTACATAGCTCAATCACAGTACCAATAACTGATCTATGCCTAGCATTTGACAGCTCAACCATACATTTTCTCATTGTATCATCACCCAATTGTGGGACAAAGAAATGTGATTATTATTCTTACTTGAGATAAGGAAACCAATACTCAAAAGGGTTAAGTGATCTGCCAATGATCATACATTAGCCTTTATTTAGAGACAAGGTCTCGCTATGTTGGCCAGGCTGGTTTCGAACTCCTGACTTCAAGTGATTCACCTGCCTTGGCCTCCCAAAGTGCTGGGATTACAGGCATGAGCCACTGCACCTGGCCCAACTGTGTACTCTCGACCACTGAACCATAACTCCTCTCACCTTATGGCAGGACTCCATGGATCCCAGGTAACTGCAAAATCATCTTTGTCTCAGGGCTGGCAAAGCTCTGAAGAGCAGCCATGGCACTGCACAAATCAGAATTTAGGGTGGATGTTTTATGCCAGAGAACCCCTTTCTATACACTGACTACACAGCCTACCTAGTGAGAATGGAGAGACTATGTGAATCTAGACAGTACATGAGCCTCATTAGGGAAGGTAAGTAAAAGAATCTGTACTGTCCAACCCTCAAGTACAGGCCCCAAATTACTAACCTTGTAAATGTTTTCTAAGACAAGGTGCATCTTCTCAGGATGAACAGCTGAGAGCACAAATATCAACATAACAACATCCACAGACCCTGGTGGTACGTGATCCAGAAGATCATCTTTGGTCAGATCACACTGGAATACCTTGCATCTTTCTGTGTCATATAAAGGATTTTGCTAGAGTGGAAAAAACACAAATGAATTTTAATGCGACCACTATGCTGATACATTTGGAAAAATACAACATCAAAAGGCGATCCTATTTCCTATACATAGAAATGATCACTTTGTTACCAGGTAAAACTGATTAATAAATCACTGACATATAACGCATGTAATAGTCACTACTGCTACAAGGGGCAAGACTTTAATAAATCATTTTTAGCTGAGGAGAGAATAAGAGTATTACGTATTCAAAACTGAGCATTTTAGTAGCACGTTATTTCCAGAGGGATGATGATTCAAAACTGGCCTCTGCTTGTTTCTTTCTTTTTGTTTTTTTAAAGGGACAGGGACTCACTCTGTCCGCTGGGCTAGAGTGCAGTGGCATGATCATGGCTCACTGCAGCCTTCACCTCTTGAGCCCAAGTCATCCTCCCACTTCAGCCTCCTGAGTAGCTGGAACTACAGGTGCGCACCCCTGCATCTGGCTAAATTTTTATTTTTATTTTTGTGAAGATGGGGCCTTGCTATGTTGTCCAGGCTAGTCTTGAACTCCTGGCCTCAAGTGATCCTCCCACTTCAGACTTCCAAAGTGCTGGGATTACAGGCGCAAGCCACCATGTTCTGCTGGCCTCTGGCTTCCTTAATCCTCCTTTGAATAATCTATTACAAGCCTAAACCCTATGAGAAGCCCTTCTAATTCCCCTTGTTGAGATGCTCCCACAGTTTTTCTGGGGTATAATTTCTCTTTATGCAGCAAGCTAAATAAACTTAACCTTTTTTTGACTACAAATGTGTTCCTGGTACATTTTGGTTGGTAGGCTTCAACACATGTTTAAGAGTATTATGAAGAAAAATACTAAACTTTTCTTTCATGTAAATGAGGACCTGAATAAATAGATATACAAAGTTACTGGAAGGGAAAATTAAATGCAAAATTAAAAAGATATCAATTCTATTCATAATTCCATTTGTAAATCCAATGCAATCTCAACTGATTCCCAATAGATTTCTAGAAACTTGACAGGGTGAATCTAATTAATCAGAAAGTAAAAATCTTTAAGAACAGCCAGGTCAATTTTTAAAATGATGAACAATGAAGTAGGTATGGTGGCTCATGCCTGTAATCCCAGCAACTTGGGAGGCTGAAGTGAAAGGATCACTTGAGTTCAAAGCTGCAGTGAGCAATGATTCGTGCCACTGCACGCCAGCCTGGGCAACAGAGCAAGATCTCATCTTTAAAAAATAGGCCAGGTACAGTGGCTTACGCTTGTAATCCCAGCACTTGCGAGGCTAAGGTGGGTGGATCATGACGTCAGGAGTTTGAGACATGCCTGGCCAATATGGTGAAACTCCGTCTCTACTAAAAAAATTAGCCGGGTGTGGTGACCCATGCCTGTAGTCCCAGCTACTTGGGAGGCTGAGGAAGAAGAACTGCTTGAACCTGGGAGGCAGAGGTTGCAGTGAGCCCAGATCATGCCACTGCACTCCAGCCTGGGTGACAGAGTGAGACTGTCTCAAAATAAATAAATAAATAAATAAATAAATAAAATGGAACGAAGAATAATAAAGAAGATTCACTACTGGACATCAAAATATATTACAAAACGTAGTAATAACACGGTTTGAGAATGGAGACAAACATATCACCAAGACAAAATAGAGTCCCAAAACAGACCTGTGTATACTGTATATATAAACAGGAATTTTGTATGTTATATGATAAAAGATAGACAAAGGTGACAATTAGATAAAAAGGTAGACAATAAAGATGACAATTATGAACGAGGAAAAATTAATTTCTCATTCAATTTACTGTGTTCAGAAGAACTGGCTACCTATTTGAACTAAAGGACAAACGACTACCCTTGAGACACAGGCGCACAGTACCAGTTCAAATTTGGAGAAGCAGAACATTAGAGAACAACCCCTCTCCCACACCTCACCACCAAGTCTCCAAGAATAACAGTCCACTGCAGCTGGGGCTCCAAGCCGTAACAGACAGTTTCTTTGGGAAACAGTACAAAGAGAAGACCCAAATCCAAGAGAGGAGACAAAAACAAGTTGCTAGAGGAGTTTGAAGTCTCTGGTGCCCACAGCAACAACAAACCTCACAGACAGCAACAGACTTCAAACAACAGCCCAATTCCTGACTAGACTGTTACAAATCCCTATCCTTCAGTATCTACTGGCCCTTATGTCTAGCTTTAACCAAAAAGTAGAAAACATCCCAGAAGGCAAGAAAAAACATAGTGTGAAGAGAATAAGCCATCACCAGAGCCAGACTCAAATATGACAGATGTTGGATCCGAAAGCTTGGGCATTTAAAATAATTATGATTAAAACGTTGAAGATTCTAATGGAAAAGACAGACAACATGCAAAATCAGACACATAATTTCAGGGATGGAAATTATAAAAAGACTCAAAGAGAAATGCTAAAAACCAAAAACATGGTAACAGAAATGAACACTTTCAATAGGTTCCTCAACAAAACATGTACTACCTAGGAATGAGTCAGTGAACTTGATGATAGGATAATAGAAATCACACAAACTGAAAATGCAAAAAGGAAAAAAGTGGGGGAAAAAACCCTAAAACAACAGCATATAAGGGCTGTGGGGCAATAGAAAATGTTACACATGTAACTGGAATCCCAGAGGGAGAAGAGAGAACAAGAGCTACAGAAAGAATTCAAAGAAATAATGACCCTAATTTTTCCAGATTAAAAAACATAACCAAAATTATAAAATAACTATATAACCAAAAATTATTAAGAGCAATATATAGGTGATTACGTCTAAATCCTAGGAAAAGCTAGGCGCGGTGGCTCATACCTGCAATCCCAGCACTTTGGGAGGCTGAGGCAGGAGGATTGCTTGAGCCCAGGAGTCTGAAAGCAGCCTGGGCTAACGAGACCTCATCTCTAAGAAAAATAAAGTAAATCCTAGGAGTAAAGGACTCCTAAACAAGGCATAAAATAGAACTTCAAAAGGAAAAGATTAGTATTTTGCCATGATAATTTAAATCCTGTGTAGCGTGGGCAACATAGCAGACCCTCATCTCTACAAAAATTTTTTAAAAATTAGCCAGGCATGGTGGTGCAAGCCTGTGGTCCCAGCTCAGGAGGCTGAGGATCGCCTAAGTCCGCAAGGTCGAGGTTGCAGTGAGCTGCGTTTGTACCACTATACTCCATCCTAGGTGACAGAGTGAGACCTTGTCTAAAAAAAAAAAAAAAAATCCTTGTGTAAAAAAAAAACAGATACTGTAAAGTGATGCTGAATACACTGGAAGAACTGTTTGCAACACATATACCAAAATATCTAGAATGTATCCTGAAAATAAGAAAGAAAATGACAAACCAATAGAAAAGTAGGCAGAGGTTATGAACAGACAGCTCCTACTATAAGCTCCATGTGGGTGGGAATTTTTGTCTGTCTGTTCACTGTTTAACTCCAGTGCTTAGAACAGTGATTGGCACACATTAAGCTCTCAGTAAACAAATGTGGACTAAAGGAACTCACAGCTAACTAATGCTATCGACCTTCCACAAGGCCTTCAACCTCTCTGGTGATAAGAAAATAATAAATTAAAATATGGAGACATTATTTTTTGCCCAAAAGATTGGTAAATATAAAAAAGACGGATATCAAGTGTTGAGGCAATAAAAAAAAAAAAAGGTACCTTTATATTATTGGTGAAATTATAAATTAGTACGATCTTTTTGGAAGGAAACTTGGCATTGTCTATTAAAATATAAACGTACATGCTCATCTTCCAAGGAATTCTACTTCTTCCATTATTCTTCATAGAGACGAATGCATACACACATTTTGGGAACATATGTATGATGCTGATCATATTAACCCTATTGTAAGAGCAAAAAATTAGAAACAATCCAAATAAATATCAATAGGGTAACTGTTTCTTTTGTTTGTTTTTGTTTTTTCGTGATGGAGTCTCGCTCTGTCGCCCAGGCTGGAGTGCAGTGGCGCGATCTCGGCTCACTGCAAGCTCTGCCTCCCAGGTTCATGCCATTCTCCTGCCTCAGTGCTCCTGAGTAGCTGGGACTACAGGCGCCCACCACCACGTCCGGCTATTTTTTGTACTTTTAGTAGAGATGGGGTTTCACTGTTTTAACCAGGATGGTCTCGATCTCCTGACCTCGTGATCTGCCCACCTCGGCCTCTCAAAGTGCTGGGATTACAGGCATGAGCCACTACACCCGGTCAGGTAACTGTTAAATAAAGTATGGTATATCCATTCTATGGAATACTATAACAGGTAAATAAAATCTACATGTACTAACATGAAAACTCTGCAAAATAAAATAATGTAGAATGAGGAAAGCATGTTATAGTAAATACGATACCACCATTTTTAAAAATCTGTGTATATAGTGGGCAGACTTAAGTCCTTATTTAAAACGTCTAAACTTTCTAGATGTTTAGAAGTGCACAAAGTATGTTAAAAGCAGGGTAGTAAATAACACATTTTGTATATATCCTTTTGTTAAAATTCACTGAAATATTACCTTTTGGAAATGGAATGATCAAACCACTTCTCTAATCAGTACATATCATTACATTTGTACTGGGTCAGGAGAAAAGGAGGAGAATAAAGTGCAAAGGGCCTTATACCAATGTGTTTATAGCGAGGCAAGATTGACCACTGTACCTGATGTCCATGCATTTTATTTTACTTTGCTATGTACACAGTGTATATGAAGGACAAATGAGTCCTCATTTACAACATCTAGTTCTAGATGTTAAAGAGGTTGACAGTGTATGATCAAAGTAGAGTCAGTAACCTAATACACTGAATACACTTTGTGTTCAAATTCACAGGAAAGACTGTTCTTAAAAACACTCAGGGAAGTGAAATTGTTAAAATCCCCTCTAAGCATTACAGATGCTTATACCTATCCACTGAGTTGATAGAGGCAGGGTTCTATGCCAGAATGTTCCTATTTAGATGGCACTTTCAAATGACAGCTTATTATGTACGTGTACCATT